AGGTTTAAAAGCAGCCCAAGCAGAACCTATCTTCAATTAATCAACAAAATGGCAAGCTGGTAGAGTGCTAGCCACAAACAAACCTAGGTAGAGCTCAAGTCTCTGTGTTCAAGTTCTAGTAGCAACAGGCGCACTCATGCACACTTGCACACATGCATGTGCACACACACACACACACACACACACACACGCACACACACACCACTTCCTATGGCTCATGCCTGTAATTCTAGATGCTAGGGAGCAATAAATCAAAAGGATCATGGTTGAGACCAAAACAGTTCACAAGACCTATTGAAACCAATGGCTGGGCATGGTGGTAAGTGCCTGTCATCCCCAGTAAGCTGAGATGGGGCAGACTGCAGTTCTAGGCCAGCCTGGGGCAGAGAGGGGCGGTGTGGGGGGGGTGGGGGACCAGGGTAGGGGCGTGGAGGAGGAGTTCAAGAAACCTTATCTCAATAGAAAAAGCTAGGCCTACTGGCAAATACCTGTCATCCAAGTGGGAAGTATAAACAGGAGGATAGTAATCCGGGCCTATGTAGGCAAGAAACAATATCCTATCTCAAAAAAAACCAGAGCAAAAAGGGTCTGAAGCCAGGGCTCAAATGCAGTAGATTACCTGCTTAGTAAAGGAATAACTCTAAGTTTAACTTAGTCTGTGGAGCAAAGACAGGAAAAGAGGGGGAGAGAGAGAGATTACCAATGTTATTTTACAAACAAACATAATTGGAAACCCTGTAAGCATCCAAACTTAAAAAAGAACCATATTGCCAGGCGCTGGTGGCTCACGCCTGTAATCCTAGCTACTCAGGAGGCTGAGATCTGAGGATCGTGGTTCAAAGCCAGCCCGGGCAGGAGAGACCGTGAGACTCCTATCTTCAATAAACCACCAGAAAACCAGAAGTGGCGCTGTAGCTCAAGTGGTAGAGCGCTGGCCTTGAGCTGAAGAGCTGAGGGACAGCGCCCAGGCCCAGAGTTCAAGCCCCACGACTGACAAAAAAAAAAAGAACCATATTAGGCAAATAAGTATTTGGAAACCCAATTTCAAATTTTATGAAATAAGGAATGACAAACCTTATTTCATGAGTCTTCTATAGAAACATGAAAGATGCACCAATATTAAGTATACACATGGATCATTTTTGTAATTAAAAACTACTAGAGATATAAAATACTAGGAGATAAAAACCTTTCTGGTCCCTCTGAAGCTTTATTAGACACATCCTATACATAGGTAACCAGTATTCTGACTTCTGGTACCACAAATACACTTTGTCCTTTCTCAAACTTTCTATAAATAAAATCAGAGTATGTACTTGGAGGGTTAGGTTTATTCATGCAGATTATGTATCTGTGAGATTCATCCATGTCATAAGGAATAATAGTAGTTTAGCCTTTTTCAATCCTGATTGTATATCACCAAAAATCTAAAATAATACGTTAACTAGTGATGGGCTGTTTCCAGTTTGGGGCTATTGAAAATGTTGGTTTCTTTTTTTTCTTTTTCTTTTTTTGTCTGTCATGGGGCTTGAACTCTGGGCCTGTCCCTCAGCTCTTCAGCTCAAGGTGAGCATTCTACCACTTAAGCTACAGTACCACTTCTGGTTTTCTGGTGGTTTATTGGAGATAAGAGTTTCACGGACTTTCCTTCCCCAGTCTGGCTTTGAACCATGATCCTCAGATCTCAGCCTCCTGAGTAGCTAGGATTACAGGCATGAGCCACAAGCACCCAGCAAATGTTGCTTTCTTTTGTACACATATGCACTTGAAATATATATGCAAGCAATTTCTTTATTTACAGTGAAATTACTGAGTGATAAGATGTATATATATGGTAAGTTTTAATAGTTACAAATGAATTCATAAAATTGGATATAATATTCTGCCTATTTTGCATGTTAACTAAACTTGATGGTATGACTTTGTACCTTTATTTCCCCTCACCTAAGGAAATGTAGTATTTTCCTTCAGTCATTAATGTGCTCATGAAATCAGCAATGCCTGTGACCAACAGAAATCATGGATATTGTTATAGTTTATTACACTGTTGGATAATTACTAAACATTGTTTGCCCTCACCATTATGAAAACACACTAACTAGTAGGCTGACAGATCTTTGTTTCTTATATTCATTTGAAAACATAGCCCAGTTCAAATATATTAACACCTTGGCAACTGTAACTCAATATAATTTCCCCTATAATTTTATACTATTTTAGTAATTTAAAGGTATTATTCTGAGGATTGTATAGAATTTACCAGATTGGCATCCATATCCCCAGTAAAGAGGAAACATTTAAATACTCCTGCTAAGAAGGTCTAAAATCTCAAAAAAGCTTCCCATATACTTTCAGTGTGGCTAAATCTGGTTATAAACAGAGCCTTCTTATTTTAGGGTCCTCCTCAAGCATCTACTAAATTTATTATAATTTTCACATTTATATGTTGTAATATTATTTTAAAAATTCAATGATTATATGTTTTTAACCATGATTCTCCTACAAGAAAATTCCTGTCAATACTAAAAACTATAAACTGACTACTCTTAAACAAGTGTCCACTTAGGATAAATGGCCATAAAAGAAAACAATATTCAAGACAAAAGAAAAAGCCTGAAAGAACAACAAAATTGAGAAAGTAATTCTTAGTGACAGTTTCATCTTTCATCTTAGGTCATGCCTTGAACTCTACCTTGTTTAATTATTAAATCAGAAGCTGCTCAGCAAGACCTGTCTAGACTTGGTGATTCCTAAATTTAATCCTGCTGACAGACTCTGTCCATTTTTTCTATATTTACTATTATTACCCATGACAACATCTGAATGCTAATTATTAATTCAGTGCTCATTAAAAATAAAATGAAGTTTTTCTGACAGTGACCTCTTGGCTCCAAAATACACTTTTTATACTATATCAAGGTTATATAAATGTTACTGTGAAAGATATTCTTAACATTATTTGTTTTTGAGTGTGTTTGCCAGTACTGGGGCTTGAACTTAGAACCTTTGCTCTACCTTAGCTTTTTCCACTGGAACAATGCCTGTATTTCCTGATCTTTTGCTGGTTAGATGGAATTAAAGAGTCTTACAGATTTGTCTGCCAGGGTAACTTAAAACCATGATCCTCAAATCTCAGGCTTTTGAAAAACCAGGATTATAGGTATAAGCCACTGATTCCCAACTTTAATATTATTTGATAAAATACATCAATAGAGTGAATATCTTAGGCAATGAATATATTTTATAAATTTCAACATTAAAATTATTTAATATTTTAAAGCTGTAAAAATTTAGGATTTTTAGATAATAAAATATATTTTATATTCAGTTTTGTGGTTTATCCACAGCTCTGAATAACAAAGAAATAGTTATACACATATATCCACAGCACCATTATTCACAATAACCAAAAAGTGGAAGCAACCCAAGTATCCAACAGGTGAATGGATAGACACAATGTGGCACATACACACAACTGAATATTATTCAGCATTAAAAATATAAAGAAGTGCTGATAGATGTTATAAAATAGATGTACTGTGAAGACATTCTGCTAAGTGAAATAGCCATTGCTAAAGGGTAACTAATATACAATTCTGCTTATATGAGACACCTACAGTTGTCAAATTCATGAAGCGAATGTAGAGGCTAGTTACTAGAGACTAGATGATAGGACAAATGAAGTTATTGATTTATAGATACAGATTAGACTGAGAAAGAAGAAAAATCTGGACACAGATGAAATGTTGATTGCACAATACTAACTGTATATAAAGCTATCAAATCTATATGCAAAAAGGTGTTTTTTTTTTTTTTGGTCGTGGGGCTTGAACTCTGGGCCTGAGTGCTGCCCCTCAGCTCTTCAGCTCGAGCACTCTACCACTTGAGCCACAGCGCCACTTCCAGCAAAAAGGTGTTTTACACAGCGAAAGTATACAACCATTATACAATAAAGTATGAGTCAGAAATAAATATTGCAAGAAATATTCTAAAGAAAAGATGTTCTTCGAGTTCTGTTTCTATATAAACTTGATAAGCTGTTTAAAGCTATACATCAAAGAAAAGGATTTAGTTGGTGCTTGCTACTTTAACAGTTCTGGGTAACTGACTCTACGACATATCAACAATATACTTGGGTAGCTGACTCCTGTTCAAATTGCACAGCACAGCTTTAAATTCAAGAAAGTGTTTGGACAAAGCCATGCTGAGTGGGAGGTTGTGAATGTTAAATGAGGACTGAGTTGATGATGACTGGCTGACTGGGCCATTCTGTTATATCATATAATACATCTGTAACAAAAGTGAACAGAAGAACTTGTCTTGGATATGAGAAGTCCTCAACTACATGCATATCAGCCTGCATGCAGAACACGTTGACTGCATCTCAGAAAGTCAGATGAGCTTCCACAAGAATGAAGCATTCATTTGCTCTGATCTACACTCTGCTCTATGAGGAGGCACATTTCAAGTGATGGGACTCCTCCCCCATGCACTCCAGAAGAGGCTCTTTGGGGATGCTCTAACTCAAACTCACTTTAGAGATTGTGGCTGGTCTCTGTTGCGCAGTTTCCTTCCTAATCTTCTCAATAAAGGAACTTTTTTGGTTTATCCAAGTAGTGTGTGTAACTCTCACTAAGATGATCTACTAAGAAAATTTGTCAGAGTGGCCATATCACTATTTTCCTTTTGCTTAGTTCACACCAGCATTAGGTATTTTCAGCAAAAGGATCAGTTTAAAAGAATTTTTAAAGGAAGAAAATTTCTCTGACCTAATAGTCAGAAAAAAATTGCAAAGGCATCAATCAATCTGGTCAAACCTCTTACCAAACTTCAAGGGATTGCTGTCTGTTGTTACATGTAAATCTATATCAAATAGAAAGGGAAAGCCTTTCCTTTTAATGAAGTAACCCATTTATATATAGTGCACTCCAGTGAAGCGTAAGGACAGTAATTAAGAAGATAATTTCTAAACATGTCATAAAGAATAAAACAACACTTACTGTTGACTGTGTTTGTGCCATGTATTCATTCTCCATTTTATTCAAACGTACATTTGTGTCCTGAAGCAGTTCTTGAATATTCTCAGTGTGTCGTTTTTGAAGCTCAAATTTTTCCTTTTCCATTTCTGCTACAGCATTGTGGAGCTACACAATGAAATCAAGAGTCTCACTACTATTAAACAGTATTTTGCAATTCAGAAAAAAATCTCTAATATTCCTATTTATAGCTACAATAGTGAGGTGAACCATAAGAAATATAAAGTCCAGGGGCTGGGAAGTTGGCTCAGTGGTAGAGCGCTTGCCTTGCATGCCTGAGGCCCTGGGTTCAATTCCTCAGCACCACATAAGCAAAAAAAGAAAAAAAAAGCCGGAAGTGGCACTGTGGCTCAAGTGGTAGAGCACTAGCCTTGAGCTGAAGGGCTGAGGGACAGTGCTCAGGCCCAGAGTTCAGGCCCCACAACTGGACCAAAAAAAAAAAAAAGAAATATAAAGTCCAAAAGTAAACATTAAGTAAAGTCATATAAAACATGATTAACCTTGGATTTAGTTTGGCTAGCATGTATAAAGCCTTGGGTTCAATCCCATACCGTAAAACAGCATGATTAAGAAAAAATATTTTTTTCTTTGCTTTCTTGAAGATTTTAGTAAATGAGCCAATATCATAGGAAATTATCTGCTAAAGGTATAAGCAAATAAATCAGACAGCCAATATAATATCTCCATTAAACATTAATAACAATTTGGAATCAGAAAAATGAAAATATTTATAGTACTACTAATTAGAAATAGTATCTACTAGTCATTTTATTAAATATAAATTTTATGACATTAATGCTAAAAATGATCTCTCTTTACTAAGACCCCAAATCAGAAACTACTTTTAGCCATCCTATCATCTATACAAACACAAACTCAAAGGTTGTATTTATAAATCAAATAGAATGAATATAATGACTGAGAAGTACTATGTATTATTTGTGTCATGTATGAGTCTTTATTGATAAAGACTAATATATATATTCTGTTAAATGGAAATATCCATATAAACTATGGAAAAGAAGACAGTGACAAATATGGAAAGTCCAGAGGTTCAGTGGACAGCTTCTGAAGAGGACTGAGTCTATGTTCTCAGCCTTGCAGGTACTCCTTCATTTTATCTTAATAGGAATGGACTGTCCTCTGCTTCTTAAATCACTCACTAGGTGGGAAGAACAAGAGATCAGAACAATCTCCATGATACATTTGAGTCACTATTAAAAAATGAGAAAAATAAATAAATAAATAAAAAATGAGGATGGGACAAGAACTTGACATGGGCAGTGTGAAGTCTTATTTGACTAGAAAGGTATTGGAAAAAAAGGAAAGACTGAGAAGTTGTGAGAACCAAAGGTTTGCAAGGCAATTATATGGTAACACATTATTTGACAAGGATGCTCAGCCATAGACATACAGCAGATCTTTGGCTTTCACAAACTTAACATATGATATTTTATACTTCTTATAAGTACCATGCGCTAACCGATTGCACAACTGGAGCACCGATATTTTATACTTCTATAAAGTTCCCAAATCTCTGATAAAGTTCATATGTTTTGTAGAAATGTCTGAAATATACATTTTAAAGACAGTGTCATCTTGAGTATTCAAAAGTCAGTCCCTTAACTTATAGAAAACCATCACCAAGCCACAGGACCAATAGCTATATTCCTTCATATGCAATTAATTATGACATCTCCACTAGTAATGCTGTTCACATCAAAAATAAGTTTTTACTACAAATTCTAGTCTCTTATATTATGCTGTCTAAAATTTCAAGAAAGAAAGAAATCACAAATTAAAACTGATATTTTCCTTAAAATCTAATGGCTGTGGGAAAAAAAAAAAACGAACCAGAAGATCTAAGTAAAAAGTTTGTTTTCTAGCCATGCACAGGTAGCTCACACTTATAATTGCTAGGTATTCAAGAGGCTGAGCTCTGGAGGACTGAGGTTTAAGGCCAGCCAAGGCAGAGGAGTTCACTAGATTCCATCTCCCAAATAGTCAACCAAAAACAATGCTGGATGCATGGCTCAAGTGGTAAAACACAGGCTTAGCAAGCATAAAGACCTGAATTTAACCCATCCCCCAAAAAAGTATCTAAGTGAAAACTATTTTATAACACAATGGATGTCTGGAAGAAAATATATCAAAACATAAAAAGTACTTATTTCTAACTCTAAATGTGTTCAAGTTTTTTATACCTTTCAGTATATTCTGTTAATTATTTCTAGTTAAATAATTTGTCTGAAGCTAGTATTTTAGGAAGCTCACCTTTTTCTCCCAGTCATTATTCAGAGATTCTGCACTTTGTTCACATATCTTTTTGAGCTCTATAATCTGGTTTTCCTTAGTCTCTCTGATAACTTGGCAGTCACGTATAAGGGCCTGAACTGTCAAAAATGATGAAAATATAGTTAAGCTAGTTCTAGAAACCACTTAAAGAGTTTAATGACATAAAATATAGCATAATGGTTAAGAGCTGTAATTCAATTTTTCACAAATCTTCTTGATTCTAAGTTTCTTATTTCTTGCTCTTTTCCCCATTTCTACCATCATGCACATCCTTGACTGAATTCAATCTTAACTTCCCTTTAGAAAGTTTGAGCACTATGATAAGCCTCAAGTATCCTTCCCCTCTAATGGCTTCCCTGTCACGTTAAGAAAAAGTTTTCCTTTCCTAAAGTAAAAAAGGCCAAATGCCGCTTAGGAAACTAGCTAGTCATGATCCAGCTATTCTCTGTCCACAGCTTTCGGCTTTTTGATATCTTAAACCTGCAGTGCCAACACACCAGCTTGTCCGCAGATTACTGAGAATGTGTTCTTTTATGTACAATTTCCCAAATATGATCACCAATCTTCCTGGGATGTCCTCTTTCCCTGGAAAACACTTGTCACCCCAGGGTTTCAGGACAAATGTCACGTATAAACTTTTCACAACCAGGTTCCTCCATCCATGGACAGAGAGATTCTTCTTTATTTCCATAAAACTATGCATATTTCTCCATTGTCACTTAAGATACCACAGTAATTTGTCTATTTTGGGAGGGGGGAGTCATGGGGCTTGAACTCTGGGCCTGGGTACTGTCCTTGAGCTCTTCAACTCAAGGCAAGAGCTCTACCACTTGAGCCACCATTTCTGATTTTAGAGCCTCACGGACTTTTCTTGCCCAGGCTGGCTTTGAATTGAGATCCTCAGATCTCTGCCTCTTGAGTAGCTAGGATGACAGGCATAAACCTCTGGTACCCGGCTGTCTATTTCTTTTTTAAGAAGACTATTTTCACTGAAGACAAAGATATCTCAAGCTCAACATTTTATCTATAGGGTGTAACAAAGCCACCCAGGCAATCTCAGAGAAGATATGTGCTGATGAAGTAAGGGACCCATCATTTCAACCTGTTGTTGCTCCTAGACACTTCAGAATCACTAAGGTTTATGTTACTAAACGAAAATCATTTTTAAACTAAGCATTTCTCACATAAATCATTTATAATTCTTCCCTAAAACTGTCACTGATCTGAGAAAATTCTAATATATTTGTGTCACCTACACTTTACTCCAAGGTAGTAATTTCTTGTTACTAAATAAAGTTGTATTCAACTCTTTTAAGACTGTAGAATTTTCAGAAACATTTCTCTAGAAATTTCATTCTTACATCTCAATCATGCAATAAGAAAACTGTGGTATTTCTTGAAAACATAACATTCTCCCTTGTTGATTTTGAGATTTTATCCTTAATTATAGTCAATTTAATACTTGATTACATGTTTGATTTTCCTTCTTAATGAATGTGTAAATGCAGCAATACGTTTTAAGAATTTGTCAATTGTACTATCACCACTACACACACACACATACATGCACATACACACAATCATTCACCCACCACATAAAAGCCCACATAAATTTCACAAAAGATCAGAAATGAAAATGTACTTTGAAAATTAACAGCCATTAAAATAAAAAATATTATTAGTAACCATACATCACCTTTCTTTTCAAGCTTTCTTATAGTCTCTTCAGTTTCATTTTGTTTTTTTCTGTATAAAGTTTTCAGTTCTTCTATTTCATTATTCTTTCTTTCTAAAATCTGAAAATTAACATAAAATGCCAAGTATACTGGATTAAGTATATAACTTATAATTTTTTAATGAGCTAAATATTTTTGCAAGTCTATTTTAGTCAATTTCATAAATGTTTCCTTAACTAAAATTGTAAAAGTGATAATACATTAAGAAAATCATTAGGATAGATTGGTAAATTATTGGGGTAAGTGAGGGAGACAATGATGGAAGAAGTAACATTTATCAAGATACATTGTACTCATAAACTGACATACTGAATTGAAACTCCTTGGTATAACTATTTAAAAATATTTTTAAAAGATCTCACAAGAGCTGGACACTGGGTAATGGTGAATCATATATGTAATCCTAGCTACTCAGGAGGTTAAGATCTGAGGATCATGGTTCAAAGCCAGCCTTGGCAAGAAAGTCTATGAGATTTAACTCCAATTAACCACCAAAAAAGCAGAAATGAGGCTGTGGCTAAACTGGTAAAACATTAGCCTTGAGCAAAAGCTTAAAGATAACCTCTAATGTAGGACCAGATACCATGAAAATATTGCAGGAAGGGGTAGGCGAAACACTAGACCTTCTAGGCACAGTCTAAACTTCTTAAGTAAAGGTCCAGAATCACAAAAAATCTAAGGAAGACTGGATAAATAGGATTATATCAAACTTAAGAGCTTCTGCACAGCAAAGGTATTAGATAACAAGATACACAAAAACCCACAGAATAGGAGAAGGTTTTATACCACCTATAAATCAGACAAGGGCTCAAAAAAATTAAACTCTCAAAAATTAATGCTCAAAAACTCAACAACTCAACCAATAAAGGGGCTAAACACTTAAAGAGGATTTCTCAGAGGAAAAAAATGACCAATAGACACCTGAAAAAATGTTCAGCATCTCTCCCCATAAAAGAAATGTAAATCAAAACACCATTGAGATGCCACCTTACACCAGTTAGAATGGCCATTATCAAGAAAACTAACAATAACAAATGCTGGTGGGAATGTAAACTTGTTTAACTACTCTGGAAGGTGGTATGGAGTTTCCTCAAAAGAGCTATTCTATGAGCCAGCAGTTCCACTCCTGGGCATTTATCCAACAGAACACAAACAACACCACAATAAAGCAACCAGCACAACCATGCTCAATGCAGCATTGTTTACCATAGCCAAGATATGGAATCAACCCAGATGCCTCTCAGTGGATGAACAGATCAAGTACATATGATATTTCAGAATTCTACTCATCCATCAAAAAGAATGATATTGTACCATTTGTAAGGAAATCTAGAGACCTAGAAAAAAGTATATTAAGCAAAGTATGCCAAAGACCACAAAACATAGGTTGCATGGTTTCCCTCATTTGTGATAGCTAGACTGTTCTGCAAATAAACACACTAAATGGTTAATACACACACACACACGGACAAATTATATAGGTCTCTAGACATTCACACATTGAGGCCAAAGAAGGATATTCAAAAGAGCGGATGACAAAAAGCTCAATAGCTTTGTGCATATGATCATATAAAATAGTATTTTTATGAAATGAACTCCATGAAAGGAAACAAATGAACACCAAGAAAAGGAAACAATAGAGTGTTTAATTGCTATTGCTGCTGTTTTTGTTTTTTCCTTTTGTTTGTTAGCTTGTATTTGGGAGAGTAAGGGGGCACAGAAAAGGTGGAACAAAGGGTGAACAAAAACAACAGCCGTACTCACTAGGCAATATGTGCAAAATGAACTGTACATCTTATGGGTGGGGACAGGAGGGAAAAACTAGGAGAGAGTGAGGGTAGGAAAGACTTATTATATAACTGTAACTGATTCATGTAACTGTAACCCCTCTGATATCACCTCTACAATAACAATAAATAAAATAAAATTTTAGAAAGCTTAGGTATAGTACTCAAGCCTTGAGTTCAAGCACACGCATGCGCACACACACACGCACACACACACACACACACAAGGATCTCACAGGGAACAAGTAGCATCTAAAATACCTTGCCTCCTTATACTAGCTAGAAGAACTAGCAGTGGATTATTATGGTTGTACTTAGAGAATTTTCAAATCTTTAAAGATTATCTTTGCTTGTATTCAATAATAAATAAATATCTATAGAGAAAAAGTATTAAATATAGTAGAAAAACTTAAAATATGTTTCAAATTTTCACCTATCAAATTTTAAGAAGAGTATAAATAATAAATTAGGTTATTCCCTTAAATAAAACTCAGAAATTAAACTGTCACAAAATGGCATAGAAAAGCCATCAGAAACCTGACATTTTGGGATAGTATAATTTACTTCACTACACTGGAATGGAAAATCTTCAGGTGAGTGTGTCCCTGAGTCCTCCTGCACCTTGGTTCACACGACAACAATTCCTAGGTACATAGAAAAATGACTGGTAATAAGCCTTCTTATGTTTAGCTCTACTACTGTTAGAAAAAAAGCTCAAAATAAATCAAAATAGCCTAATTTTTTAACACTAAAATAACTGTAATTAAAAATTTAAATGATAATCAAGGCAAATATTTTTATCAGATATGACAAACAGTAATGCTGATAATATTCTGTGATGAGCTCATTGAAAATAATGTCCTTGATAGATCTGGGCCTCAAGTTTAACAGTCAGGGTGCTCTACCACTAAGTTATTCTGATTTGGTAGCATGGTACATTTTTTTGTTTTTGTTATAAAAATAGTGTACAGAGGGGTTACAGTTACATGAGTAAGGTAATGAGTACATTTCCTTTCGAGCATTGTTACCTCCTCCTTTGTTTTTCCCCTACCATCAAAATTGCATAAATTTTATGTCATTGGTTTATATCGTACCAGATGTTTTAACTTTAAAAATATATTTAATCATAATTTTATACTTCAAAATATATTTAAACTCCAAAATCACAGGGATACAAAATTCAGGAAAGTTAGCACACAAAGTAAATTTTTTGTGAAAGCAGAAAATAATATTTGCCTTTAACATTTGAATAGAAGAGACAAAAGGAAAAGAATTAAATATTTTAAACTTTCTATTACCCAATCAGTGATTTCCTTCTTTGAAGAGTTAAACATGTACCTGACTAAATACTAATATATTTTTTTCTTTTAAGAAGCTTGAGGTTGTCATAGTGTTAACAGAGTTGTCATAGGGTTATGGGAAATGAAGGTAGATGCTCTTACTAAAAAAGAGAAAGAAGTCTCAATGCATGCATAATACTTTGTCTTCAGCTTACCTTTCAAAGTCTTCTGTTCTGATCTGATCTGAGAGAAGATCTCTCTTTGTAGCCCAGAACTCACCATCTTCCAGCCTCAGCCTTGCCAGCACTGGTATCATAGATGTGGATCACTTGGCTCCACACCTCTATCTCCATTACTTATGGGTTTTTTTGCTTTTTAATTTTTTTAACTATTATTTTAAAGGTGATGTACAGAGGGGTTACAGTTACATAAGTCAGGTAATGAGTACATTTCTTTTAAACAATGTTACCTCTTCCCTCCTTTTCTCCCAGTTTTTCCCTTCTCTCTATTTGGAACCATGTGGATATTTAAAATGGACACATGAGCTAGGAGTGTAATTTATGTGGTAGTGCACTTTCATACCATACACAGTGCCTTGGGTTCAATTACCAATGTCAAAATCAGAACAAAACAAAATACAAATACATAATCACATCACTAACATTTTAAATCATTACTAAAATAAAATACTAACTCAAATTATAAGTAACGTAGCCACAAATTGATGATTTTTGAGGAGCCTCTCTAAGAAACAAATTTTATTCGACCATATTTCAAGATTGGAAAGCACAAATTTCAATGAGCTAGACAAAAAAATAGCCTTCACTGTCAGTTCTAGCTTTATACTACATAGCAGTCTACACCAAAAAGAACTAAGTCTAAGAGTCTCTTTTTTAATTAAAAAAAAGCTAGGCACAATGGCTCACACAGAAAACTGCAGCTACTCCAGAGGCTGAAGTGGAAGGGGCACAAGTTCAAGACTAGCCTAGGAAACCTAACGGTGACCCTGTCTCAAATTAATTAACTAATTTAAGGAAAACTGAAAGGCGATTAGAATGAAACAACCTATTTACCACTGACATGTTATTTCAAATTTCATAAAAAGTAATGATAGAATAAAGATTTTAAAAAGCTATAAGAAGTCACTCACATCTAGCTACTCAGAGGCTGAAATCTGAGAATTGCAGATGGAATCCAGCCCATACTGACAATTCTGTGAGACTCTATCTCCAATTAACCAGCAAAAAAAAAAAATTTAATTAGAGGTATGGCTGCAATGAGCTATGAGAAAAAAAGAAAAAAGAAAAACAAAAAAAATAAACAGCCAAGCAATATTATAAGGCCTGAGTTCAAGTCCAGGTACCCACCCCCCCAAAAAAATCTATGAGAAATCTAGTCCTAAAATAATTGTTGAATAACTAAAAGACAATGTAAAAGGAGTAAAATAACACACATTGTAAATGAAGCTTAAAAAAAATCACCTTTTGCTGTGATGTTACTATTAGGTGTTTAAAGAAGAGGTGACCAAGTAAGAACCACACCACGCACGTGGTATTCAGGTAAGGGGTAGGTTTATTCAGTAGACCAGCTGGCACCAGGCCAGGTTGTACTCCACGCAGCTGGCAAAGACAGCATCTGGCCTTGGGCTAGGCCCTATCTAGGATAGGGCAGGAAAGGTGTGGCCAGGTAAAGAGAGGTGGGACCAGGTAAGAGGAGGTGGGACCAGGTGGAAGAAAGGTGTGGGCACATCAGATCCAGATGTGACCTCTTCCAGGTGTGCCAGTTGCCTAAGTAATGCAGGTACTGGGTGGGGTCTGCTCACCATCCAGGAAAGGATCTTACAGTTACCTTAGCAAACCTCATTTACGACACATACTATCATAAAGGACATAAATAAGTGAACAGATAAATATGAAAAGGCATGGATCTTCAAAATACCTAAAGTATTTTAAGTATTAAATAACAATGGAAATAAGTTATGTATATCTTACCTTCTGAACATCAGCATCATGTTTCTGTTGTAGCTTAAGCTTTTCTTCATGAAATTTTGCTTCCATCATTTTTGTTTTCATGTCCAACTTCAAGGAAAAAGTTTAAATATCTTATTAATTTATTCTTCCTCTTGGGAAAAATTACAGTTATATTAAAATAAAACCCCCAGATTCAGGCATGGTGACATGTGCCTGTAATCCCAACTAAACTGTGGGTACAGGTAGGAAGATGGAGGTCCATGACCAGTCCCACCATGTTAAAGGGTCTAGGTAATATATTTGTCTTTCCATAGATTTATAGAACTTAAAGGCATAGAACAAAAAACAATATTCTCACACATGACCCAGCCCTGGTTCAAATGCAAATGTCACTTCTTCCCTGAAGTATACCTGAAGCACCCCAGACAAAAGCAGTTTCTCCTTCACTTCCTATCCTGTTGCCTTACAGTTGACTTGTTCCTTCTTTCCTACTACTTAGAATTAAAGTAAAAATTTAGGAACTTTCTCATAATGTGAACTGAATAAAATAGTTTATATATTTTTGTTGTAAAGATACTGTACAGAGGGGTTACAGTTATGTGAGGTAATGAGCATTGTTAACACCTCCTTCCGTTTTTCCCCTGCCATCCCTTTCCTCCCCACCTCCCCAACTCCTCCCTCCC